TATGGGAAAATAGCAGCAACACCAGAAATGTTACTAAGCAAGAAACTGCAAAACTACCATGAATGTTACAACTTATTGGGATTGTTGGGAGCAGTTCACTTTCTGTGTGTGATGTCTGAAAAAAACGTAGCAATAGGTTTTTAACTCTGATTTCAAAGAACTCAGGCGTTCAGCTTTTTTCCAGTCTTCTGTGAGTTTGTTCCATATCAGTGGAGCATAGATGCTGCTTCTCCATGTATTTTTTTTTCTAGTTTTTCGTAGACAGAGTAGGCTGAAACAAGAAGGCCTGAGTGGTCTGGGAGCTAGATCCACCGACAACAGATCTGTTATGGATTGACATGCTGATCTATCCAATGATTTCTAGACTAACAGAAGGATTTAAAAGTCTATTCTCTGAGCTACAGAGGAAGTCAGTACAAGGATTTCAGAACTGGGATGACGTCTTCTACTTTCTTAGTTCTAGTGATGACGCAGGCAGCAGGATCAGCTGCAGCTGTCTGACTTTTTAGGAAAACCTATGAAGACCTTGTTGCAGTGATCAATTCTGATGAGTTTTTCTAGACCCTGTTTGGACATCAGTCCTTTAATACTGGAGTGTTAGGACTCCAGTCTGTGTGGTCTGTGTTTTTGTGTGTTTGTCTTCCTGACCCCACCAGGTGGCGCCTGGTTCTGATTCTCCTCCTCACACACCTGCAATGGGTTACCTCATTAATGGAGTGTTCTTAAGCTGCTGACTGCCACTACCTCGACTCCAGAGTGTTTGCCAGTTTTGGGTACTCTAGCCAAGCTGAGTTTTGCTGAGTCAAACTGCGTTTTTGTCAACCTGAGTCTTGACATTGTTTTTTTGTCTTTGCCTCTCGGCAGGAAGTCATCCTGCAAACTGGATTTTTCGGACCTTCTCTCCCTGGAACGATCAACTTGAGCTTCAAACTGAGCTGAGGAAACAAACCGGAGGTTTGGAATCCACTTTTCCCCGAGGAAATGTTTGAGCTTCACACTGAGCAAGGCATTCATCTGCACAACAGTCCGTTCAAGTACCGCAGGACATCAAAGTGGCAGTCAATCTTTCTCTGTTCATCTACAAGCAACCGTATTCTGGGTAACCCTATCTGCCCTCCACCATATGAGACAAGCATCGGAACACATTCCTCACCTACTGGAGTCTAAGAGTCAACCTAATCTCTGGAAACGTGAGTCTGCCAACCTTTTCTCCTCTTCAAGTTTGAGAATCAATTCTCCCACTGAGCCTGAACTAACCGCAGTGTCTTCCCCTGACCTTTCAGTTCCAGTTGAGCAGTGTTCAGAGCAACACTGGAATCTCCACAAAACTTCTCAATAAACCTGTTAAACTTTTTCCCTTGTCTCTCTGGGTGGTTTATCTGCATGTGGGTCAGAGCTCTTGATAAAATCATGGCATAGAGATGTTCTCAAGTGATCAAAGGCTGACTTAGTAACTGCCTTTATGAGCCTCTGAAGGTGGAGGTCTGAGTCCATCATGACACCAAGATTCTAGCCTTAATCGGTGGTTTCTAGCTGTGGTAGCTGAAGCTGGGAGCTAACTCTGGATCTCTACTCTTTTGGTATGAAGATTAATACCTCAGTTTTGTTTTTATTCAGTTGGAGAAAATAAAGCTGCATCAACATATTTATCTGTTCTAAGCATCTAGCCAATGCTCTGATGGGACCATAGTCACCTGGTGACATTGTGTTGTAAAGCTGTGTGTCGTCTGCATACAGTAGCTATGGTAACTAATCTGGTTGTTTGCTGTAATCTGAGCTAGGAGGAGCATGTAGATATTTAATAGGAGGGATTAAAGAAAGGAGTGATTTTTCTGGTCCCTGATTTAAAGTTTCCTACTGACACATAGAGGTCCAAAAGCTCCATTCCTACCCAATCATTTCTTTAAAGTTTATTTTGGGTCATAGAAGGCATAGTATACATTTTAATCACTATTTTTGCCACTGGGGATTGTAATGCTCCCAAACGTTACAACGCTCCAATCTTGCCTGAACACATCCATCCCATGGGTCATCGCAGGTCAAACCCAAATATCTAGAGAGTTACTAATAAACGGCTTTATGGTGGGGTCTTTGAATAAATAAACAAATTATCTCATCTGCAGTAACACATACAGCATGGACACCTGTTACTAAATGATTGCCATGTTTTTCTTTTAATCAGTTTAGCATAAACTCTGTATTCAGGATGATTTAGCGGTTCTGGCAGCTGACATCTTTCCATGCCGGTGTGCAGTGGGAGAACAGGGTTAATTTGTGCAACAATAATGGGAGGCCTTTTTCCTTAATTCCTCTTTTTAATTTCTTATATGTAGACCTCTGCTGCATGGCTTCCTTTCTCTCAACATTTCCTGTCAGCCTACTTTCAATAAATTCTACATGGGCCAAAACAGTGTTAAAGGTATAGTGGAGGATGTTCTTTTTCTGAGTTGATCATCAAAATAAGTTATCCTCCTAATTGTCAATCATTCTGATTATATGTTTACGTTAGGCCGTCCTACATGCCCATCCCCATTTTCACTTACCGGTGTAGAGTCAGACATAGTGGAAAAATTGCAAATATTCTTTTGTAAATAAACCTGTATGAGCGATGCAGACAGCAAACTTTAAACAGAGCATGCATGAGGAGAAATGGGTTTGTGCATACTCTGAAACATGTTTAATAGGCGTTTCCTTCCGGGAGTGGGTACAGGGTTGTGCATGTGCATTTTTTTTTAAGTGGAAAGGCCGGGTCTTTACAAAAATTCAAGAAAATCCTCTACAATAGCTTTAAGAAATAACAAAACTGTCATGATGTTACAAAGTTCAGACCCAAATGCAGAAAACCGAACAGAGAGACCAGGGAAAAGGTTTAACGGGTTTTATTGAAGAGATAAAACAGAGGGAGAAGTGTTGCTCTGAACACTGCTCAACCGGAACTGTAAAGTGAGGGGAAGACACAACGGTTAGTTCAGGCTCAGTGGGGAATTTGACTCGTGAACTTGAAGAAGAGGATTTGGTTGCCGACTCACTTTTCCAGGGAAGTTGTTGAATCCTTGATTCCTGTCTGTGTGCAGTAGTTCCAGTGGTGGTCTGATTCAGTGGAGGGCGGAACAGGGTTTACCCAGAATGCGGTTGTTAGTTGGTGAACGGAGAAACTGACTGTCACTCAGATTTCCTGCGGTACTTGAACGGGTCGTAGTGGAGAATAATCCCTTTCTCAGTGAGAAGCTCAAACGATCTCTTGGGGAAAGTGGATCCAAACCTCCTGTTTGAACCTCCAGCTCAGTTTGAAGCTCAGTTGATCCTTCCAGGGAGAGAAGGTCAGAGAGGCAGAGACAAAAACAAACTTAAACTTAGGTTGACAAAAACTCAGTTTGACTCAGCAAAACTCAGCTTGGCTAGAGTACCCAAAACTGGCAAACACTCTAGCATCGAGGTAGTGGCAGTCAGCAGCTGCATTGTTTGCCTAAAGACAGCATCAATGAAAAGTTTTATTTTTAAGAATTTAATACTGAGGGCTTGCTTTCTGCTCTTCACAGGTTAATCATCTTTAATGTCTCTAACTCTTGTGTCCAAATGTCCCCCTTATCCCCTAAATTCCTCAATCACTCTATAGAGCGGGGACAATATTGTGAACTTAGTTAACTGAGCATTTGGACATATGATCACTGCTTTTCACACCCCGTTCTTCCTAACTCCATCTCACTTATTTGTCCTTGCCACAGCAATTCCCATGATGCTTTGTGAGGAGAGCTCTTGCAAAGCAATCTGGGATATATCTGCTCTTCAATGACCCTGAATGATCACTACATTTTAAGGAAGATTTTGGGAAATTTTGATTCCACTACTTTTTCATCCACTAGATGTTTAGGAACTCATCTAAAATGGCAGAACCACTATATAGGGATTATGGTGGACATTTGGACACAGCCTTAGTGTTCTTTTCCCTTGAAAAGATATCACTTGGGACAAACTCTTTAAATAACATTTCATAACTTATATGTATTAAATAACCAGGAGACATTACGACAGATTTTGATAGAAATTTTGATCTTACTCAGATCAGAGAAACTGCTTAGAATATACAGAATGCAGCTGCACACCTCCGGCTCACCTCGCAGGAACTGGCCCCGAATAATAGTTAAAAAGGCATTTTATACATTTCCAGTCTGCCACATCATACACATTAGCAGATGATTAGACATCCATGGCTCCAGCCTTATCAAAATAGGACACCGCTCTCTTTCCATTTCCAAACCTTTGCCACGAACAAAATGAAGATTATAACTGTATATCCAGACAGAGGAGCTGTCCTAATTAGATTAAAACGTCAGTTCTGATACACAACAGGCAGCCCATACCAGGGTGTAATTAACTCACACATCTTCAATGATAATTATCCATAAACACCATCGACCATATACACTGTCACGTGGTCTGCAGCCAAACTATAAGTGGTATATTTCACACATAAATATATAACTGCTTCATTTCTATCACTCTACTTCTATGTCAGATTTTTTTATTTGGAAATAAAACCACAGTTAATAAAACCTGACAAAAGTTTGGTTATCCATAATCGATGTAAGTAAAGGTTGTTTTCAAACCTGCCAGTTTTAACTTTAACCATTTTAAAACCATATTATTAACCATATTCTTCTGCCAGAGAATAAAATAAAAAAAACATTTAGAGAACATTTAGCTGCAGGTCCCTGTATTTTAGCATGTACTGACTTTAACATGTTTTTATTTATTTTTTCTAAAGACGAAAAATTTAGTTTTTCATCTCATCCAAAATTACCCTCTTCAGTCCATCTATTAGAGTAATTCTTCTCAAAGTTACATAATCTTAAACCCCAACTAAACTGGCATAACAAAACTAACCCAGCCCAGAAAACCTCAGAATAAAATGTTCCATTACAGTAGCCAATCAGCTTCTACATCTACTTCAGCTGAAAAATCTGCATCATATCTGTGAAACTGTCACTTAGATCCAGCTCAACATCGCCATGGATGGAAGGCAGATGATTCGGGTTCTTCTCTTTGGTAATTTTCTGATTTACCAAGATATAAATTATGATGACCATGATATTTATAAAAACTAAAGTGGGCTACATTTAAAGTTTAGATCTCCTTAATGTTGGAGCTTTAATCCTGTAACAATATTAATGTACTGCTTCAATGCCTTTCTTTTTCAGGACTTATTTCCTGTAATCTCTGCTCCATTTCTGCTTTAACGCTGGAGACGATTGTACGACCTGGAGACAACATCACCCTCTACTGTGACTGCACCCGGTCCACTGGAGTACATATAGTATGGTTTAGAAACTGTTCCCATGAACACCAGCCGACTCTTGTAGTGAAGACAGTTGGAGACATAGAGTATGTAAAGGAAAGGGAAAACTTGTTCCCTCATTTTAAATTTTTAAAGAACGAGTCGTCCAACTCCTATGACCTGCTGATCATAAATGTCACTGGATCTGATGAAGGACGTTATTACTGTGGAACAACTGAGCCAAAGGTGGAGAAAGATGAAAACATGAAACATTTCATGAAAAATGTCTACATCTATGGAAACATCACCACAAGGATCACAGTCTGTAAGTTCTCCTTTCTAATTATATCCCAGAACTTCTAGAACAATTGCTCCATAAAAGTTGGAACCAAATGTTCCCACATAAATGTGCATTAAATAAAGATGAAACATTAAGATGTTACAGAGTGGATTAATTAAAATGATTTATTTTTAGAAAACAACCTGTAAACAAAAGAAAAAAGAATTAGTTGATATTCTAAAATGATTTAATCATTTTAACATTTCAACTTAATTTCCCAGGAAAGAGCTTTAAAAATAAAAATGAAATAAAAAAAATGAAAAAATAAAAGTGAAAATTAACCTTTACTATTAGACATCAGGAAAGGACATCCACAGTTTCAGGAGATTATTGAAAAAAGATGTATCTCTGTGTGTTAAAAACTACAGACTAGAAGAGGGGTCTGCTACTCAAACTGCTTAAAAAGCCATATTGGGCCAAAAAAAAAAAAAAAAAAAAGCCTGTAGCTGCAAAAAGTCTTCTATCAGCCTCGTCTGGCAACACGGGCTCTAAGTGTATTATCCATCTATAGAAAAGGACTATGTGGGCTTAAGTATATAATAAGTCTTCATGATTAAATTTTCATCCTGGAAAAAATGTCACATAGCAGCATGAGGTGAGGGAGGAGCAGTGAACGCTCTCACTGCGCACCGCTTCACCGCCCGGTTTTGGTTTAGTTGCAATGATAAAATGATAGAAATACAGTAAAGGAATCTTTCTATGCTGGACGGGTTTCTGTTGGGAGGAGATGATTGAGTCATGAGGCACCAAGCAGGAATGGAAATCCCACATCCTCCGTCACCATCGTTCCTTGGTGTGAATTATATTTTTAGGATTTGGGGAAAAAAATGGAAGAAAGTTGATCTGTGGACGGTTTTCCAACCTTGAAACAAAACTAGCAGCAGTAGTGCAGTTTGGAGGTACAATCCACTATCCATCAATCTCTCTTTGCGCTCCTCTAATTTATCCAGGAGCCAATTGCACTATTTATCTCACTCCCACGCTGGTGGTCGGCTGCATATTTAGTCTTACCTGGAAATGACTTTTAAAATTTTTATTTTTTAACAACCTGTCATTACAAAGCAAAAAGGCAGGCAATCGTTCCGCATTGATAGTGAAAGCAAATGATTCGCTCCATTCTTTAAATCCTCTTTTCTCATCAGCTATATTTTTCATTTGGAATCCATGGTCCGAGACGCACCCACCGCTTTGTTTGCCTGGCACCACGCCATGCTGCTCCCAATTTATAACAACTGATCTCTATGGCTATGATGCAAATTGTTTAAATGTATTTATCATACAAATGTTTACAGCATTGGAAAACCTAATAAATTTTTTGCACACTCCATTAAAACAAAAAATCAATTTTCATAAATTTTTGTAAAAGCTCCAGGGAGCCACAAGAGGGAAGCTAAAGAGCCGCGTTGGGCTCCGGAGTCGAGGGTTGACGACCCCCGGATCAGAACAATATGCTTAGCTGATTTTACTTAAAGCTCATTTAAAAAAAATATATATATATTATTCATACATATTTTCAATTTTACTTTTACAAATCTTTTGATAAAACATAAAAAAGAATACATAACTACATAACTCGCATATGTTTCTCTTTTTAGATGCAGGGACAGTGGAGGAGTGGGGTTTGTGCTGGAAGCTGCTATTCTCTGTCTGTCCTGCTGTTTTTATTCTCTCAGCTCTCTTCTCACTTTTGGTCTACCTGCATTGCATGAAGCAAGGTGCTTGATATAAATATTTATATTATGAGTTATACAACAAATATTTTTATTTTGTCATATTGAATGTTTTTTTTCATATCTGCAGCAAACCCTGAAGCTGAAAATACAAGGTGTGACATTTCCAGAAAAAAAGAAGGAGGAGAGGTGAGAAACGATAAACAAGTTATCTATGTTTTGGAAAAATTACCCTTGTGTAGTTGATTAAACTTTGCAATATGATGATTCTGAATATCAAATCCTAGGATCAAAATGTGTGTTACGCTGCCCTAGAAATCCATGCGCCATCACAAAGAGCAAAGAGGAAGAAGACCATCCAAAGTTCAGATTTCAGTACCTACTCTGCCATCAAGAGATGAGGAGATTCTTACTAAACACAGAAACAGAAAAAGATAGAAAAAAGAGCTTGTTATGTTATTCTTGTTTTTAACTTCCTCCCAAACTAAAGGCAAAATTATTTTTAAAATGTCATCATAACTTGTTTTCTTTTTCTAGCCAGCTTTGTTTTGATGTAATTCCAATCTCTCTTTATCAGTAAAGTTCTTTTCAGTCATGTTTTAGATTCAAGCTCTAACTTTCATTGTAGATGTTTTGTGCTCCTCACTGAGAGAACGTTGTCAAAAAGAAAGACAGACAAGACTCTACTACTCTAATATTGTTTCTATATTTTTATTTTGTAGAAAATATGGTGAAAAATGCATTTTCTTTATTTGAATATTAAAATATATGTTTAAACATTTCCAGCAGTATATATTAAACTAAAAATGAATTTGTAATATTTTTGAATCATTTCACATGAGATTTTGTGACTATTTTCTTTTACAACCAGTTCTGCAATCATTGTCATTTGGCAATAAGAATTGTGTTGATGCCAAAAAGAGCCCAACAGATTTTACTTTCACAAGTGGAGGGGTACGGCTATCGCCATAGTGTTCAGCTTGTTTTATGCATATAAATTGCCTTATTATCATTATGCAGGGAGTTTTTACAGATTATATGGGCACTGCAATGTAGGTAGAACAGGAAAGAAAAAACAGAAAAAAAGAGAAAAGATGAAAGAAAGAGGAGATAATAGTGAGATAATGATAAAACATTTTCAGTCTGTTTCTTCAGCTGCAAAGACATGTAAACAGAACAGCACAACCAACAGACATGGTAGGAGACATTCAATAAAGTAACACCTAGATACTATCGCTGAAGTATAAGTAGTATTATTTAATCTGACATGTATACTGTGGTAGCTGAAGGTAAGAATATGGGCTTTCTGTATGGAAGTGAATCTCTGAGTACCTGGAACCAAGCACCTGTAGTTTGTGAAAGTGCACTTGTGCATGTAAAGTTTATCCAAAGAAAACAACTGCACAATAGAGGTTGTAAAGAGCCAAAGAGACACCCACCCAGAGCACTGAGTCCATAGCCGGGAGACCCAAAGCCCCAGACGCACAAAGGGACCCAAAGGGAGAACAGAAGTGACAGCCTTGGCACCAGCAGGCCACCCAGGCCCCACAGCCACCCCCCGCCAAGACCACGGACCAGGCGGCTCGCTCTACCTCCAGGCCCCAGACTCCGGGCGGCAGCCGGGGAACAGGAGTGTGAGAAGACCCGATCCTCCCTGCCCCTGCTCGAATGTGGTGTTGTTGCATGTTCTCAGGTGTAATTAAAACTGGGAGTACCAAAGGGGGTGTCCAGCACAGTCCACCCCCCCTCCGGAGTACAGACAGTGCCAGAGCACTCCCCCAATCAAAAACCCAAAACCCTCAATGTCTAAATGCCAGAGGGGGTGGGGGGAGCCAACTGTGGTGAGGCCCATGAAATAACCCCCCCGGTGCCCTTGACCCCCACCGCCCCAGAAGGGTTAGGTGCAGGAATAGATGTGTGCTGTGAAAATGTTGCAGATGGCAGTGTCTAAAATGCAAAATAAAATTGGAGTGGGGGACATCATCAGAAGGTGGGACCCTCCAGTAATTACCCCCTCCCCAAGAACCAACATGTGTGGCATTGTGATGGAGCAGGCAGAGGGAGAAATCCGGGGATGGGGAGCAAAGGGAAAGGGGGGGGTTACTGCACTCCCAGGGAGCCAGCTCGCCTGCTGACTCCAATAGGCACCCCCCTTCCCCGAGAGCCCCACCAGTTCACCACCATAGCCCAGGGGCCAGGGACCGGCCCCTGGGCTATGGCTAACAACGCCATCCCCTCATCTTGTCCATGCAAAAAAAGGGAGAGAACCCTGGCCGGCCAGCCTGCACGCACCATGCAGAACCCCCACCCTGGACGATGCCTACACCAGCGGATGGCATGGACCAGGGCCGAGAGAGGCAGCCGGACTCGAAGCTCTTCTAACATCCTCATCCCTCCACCACCACCCCCCGCCCCCCTCCTGAAATGTAATTCCTCCCCTACATTAACATTCAAACCACTCATCACACAAGCGACAAAAGACATCCAGGCCAAGATCATTCCCACTCCCCCTCCCTCCCCTTTCCCCACTTGCAGAGTGCAAAACCCCGAAGGGGTAAGCATCTGCAATAAGGTGTTAAAATCCATGCACCCCCACCAACTCAACAGGCCCGAGGCTGGACAGCCGGGTATACACCGGCCCAGACACCAAGCAGCATTCCCCACAGAACCCGAAACCGCAACGCCCTGCCGGGGCCCGAGGGCAACATGCCCCAGGGACCCCAGACCCCCGGATCCAACCAGCAACAGCACAGCTACCAGGCCAGTAACCCACGACCGCCACCGTGGAGCCCCCCCGAGAGCAATTCAATTCAGTTTATTTCTATAGCGCCATTTCACAGCACAAGTCTTCTCAAGTCACATTACAGTTCAACCAGATCATACAGTCAAATTGATTCAAAGTTTTCTATCTAAAGAAAACCAGTTGATTGCATTGACTCATTGACTCAAATACAATCCCTCACACTAAGCATACTTGTAGCGACAGTGGAGAGGAAAAACTCCCATTTAACACGAAGAAACCTCCAGCAGAACCAGGCTCAGTGGGAGCGGCCATCTGCCCAGGCTGACTGGGGTTCAAGGAGACAGAAGCAGATACAAAAAGCAGCTGTAAAAGGCGGCCCCGTCCAGGAAACACACAGCCAGCAGACGAGCTCTGAGCCAGCTCCCATGTCAGAGGGCACATCCAGCCTGTCATGGTCAGAGAAACAGGACTACACTGGAAAACAGGCCAATCTCCAGGATCTATAAACAAGGGTGTTGATGGCAGCAGCACAGCTGATATTTCTCTCCAGGATGGAGTCACAGCCAAACAGGAACAGACCAGAAGAAGATTGAACTAACAGATTCTGCAGAATAGGAGAATAGAGAATGAAGCAGAATGATTAAATGGGGGTCCTTATATCCTCCAGCAGTTTAAGCCTATAGCAGCATAACTATAGAGATAGCTCATGATAACCTGAGCCACTCTAACTATAAGCTTTATCAAAAAGGAAAGTTTTAAGCGTAGCCTTAAAAGTAGACAGGGTCTCTGCCGCATGGACTAAAACTGGTAATTGGTTCCACAGGAGAAGAGCCTGATAACTAAAAGATCTGCCTCCCATTCTACTTTTAGAAATTCTAGGAACCACTAGTAAACCTGCAGATTGAGAGCGAAGTGCTCTG